TTATACTCTATACTGAAAGTATACGATATATGTATTCTGTCGGTTCCATGATATAAAACTCTATGTATACCTCTAGATTAGGGTCTGGCGCTTGAGGGTAGAACTCAGAAATGAGCCTCTCCGTGTTCATGTTACTATGAGCGAATGATGTGCTGCACTTTCAAGCTTGAATCAACCGAAAAGAGCACACAAAGACATTGTCTTTCACATTTGCTTCAAGCTTTGCAGCCATGTAGGACAGTCTTTACGTTACGTCAAACAAGGACAAAGAAGTCACATGTCTAGGGCATTGATGGAACTCGTAGTGACACAATAATCCTTCCCAAGGAAGAGCAACATGTCTATATTTGGCGGATTTTCAAGAACCGACTCCTACTGCCGTCGATCTGACTACCTCTAGAGGAAACAAAATGCGCGTCGCTGTTCTTGCGACACTGTTGCTCGCAGTACATGGCCTTTCGACACAGCATTGCCATACCACCGTGAAAAGCAACTCAAGGCTAGGAACCGAAGACCCGATCACTCCAATATGGACTCCTGGTAGTCGGTATGGCTCCGGTCTACCTGGTCCGATGCCTTCTTCATCTACAGCAGCTTTCACCGGGTTGCTTTCGGCTTCCCTGGAGAGCGCATGGCAGTGGCCTATCCTTTCCAGCTCATTCGTGACAACAGTCGATTCGATGACTTCGAACCCCATCGCCAGCGTTCCACCGAGTGTACCCACTCAATCGAGTGTGTCCACACTTGACTGTGGGGAAGCTTCTCTTCGTCCGACACTGACAATTACATCAACATGTTCGAGTACCGCCTTCGATTCTCCATCGACTGCAGCTTCCACAATGCCGAGCTCCATATCTCCTTCCTCAATGTTCATGTCACAATATCCGCCGGCCTACCCTAGCTTGCCCGTCCTTCCTCATGACCCGACGTCACTCACCTGGAGTTCAGTGTATTCATGCACGAGCTCTGCATTTCCGTCTCCAACTTTCACATCCAAGGAGCCAATCAATATATCTTCTTACGATAGCCTTCTCGGTCTACCCTTGCACCCGAGCTCACAAACGAAGGGTGGGACCGTACCAAGCATATCCGGCCCCTCTACGAAATCGATCCCTAAGAAGCCGACGTCCACGATGAATTTTCTTACGCTCAAGACTTCTCTCACGTCTTGCGAAACATTGACGCACAAAACTGACCCTGCTGTTATCACAAGCATAATGGTGCCGGACAGGCATTGTCCGTATCCTTATCCGAGAATATACTGCGGCGAAACGAAAACGATGTTGGTAACCAAGACGAAGGACAAGCCGAAGACTAGTGACTCTGGGTGCCCTTATCCTGGACATGACATCCTATGTTAAGGATGCGTTTTGTGGCTAACTAAAGATGCACTAGTTGATCGCGCACGAGGTTGACGGCTACGCGAACGGTGGTCTCGATCATGGTGACTGAGGCAGTTTTGACGGCTGTTACGACGGGTGCGTTGGAGTGAGATATTCAGTGACAAGTATAGAGGAGAGGTTACAGACGTCGTCCTCGAAACAGTTTTCTTATTCTCCAATCTCTTCGTATCTTTCCTTACTGTATCATCAGTTCGTCCTTGCTCTCAAAGACGACAGCTTCGCATTCGGTAGAAACACGAGTTCGTCACATTATTTCATTTTTTCCAAATCCATCGGCTACCTATCTTGTTGCCATCGCTTCCGGAACCTTGTGACCAGCACATTCCTGCAGCAGCCTATCTTGTACACTCTTCGCAGCATGCGCATAAGCCACAATGTCTACGTCCGTAGCCTTGCCGTCTGCACCTCCGTCAAAGACCTCGTAGCTGAACCAGCCTCTGAATCCCGTCTTGAGCACTGCTCTCGCAACATCAACAACCGGTAGGTATCCTCCGTTGTAAGGTAGAGGTCGGAAGTCGTGACTCCATCGTCCACGAGGCAGCAGACCTGCATCGTCACGCTCAGCATCGAAGGCCTGAGGGACTTTATAGGCATCGCTGATCTGCAGAAGGTAGATCTTGTCCTTGGGAATGGTGGAGCTCAGCTCTTCCAGGCTCTTTTGGAACCGCTTTTCCAACTCGTCTTTGGATACATCTTCTCGCAAACCGGAAGCCGTCCTAGGATCGCCCCATTCTCCACCTGCAGTCTGGAAGGTATCAAGACATAGACCGATGTTCGGACGGTCTACCTGCTGAACGATACTCCAAACGTCTTTCCAGTCAGGTGCATGTGTCGACCAACACCAGTTCTCGTAAGCTAGTCGGAAGTTGTGCTCCTTGAGCATGTCGCAGAGAACCTGGAGGTCAGACACCATCTTACTCCTGTCTAGTTTCTCGAGGGGTGAATCCGTCGATCCGACTTGCAGCAAATCTGTCCCACACGCCTGCATGATGCGGATCCAGCCGCGAGCCCGGTCCATGGCGTCTTTGCGGCCATCGGAGCCTTCAGGCCAGCCTTCGTAATTGGCAAATGGCTGCAACATCATAATTCCAAGGCTTCTTTTGTCGCACTCTTTTTTAATCTCGCCTGCTACTTTGCATAGCTCGTCATAATTGGACGGTTCGACTTCATGGCCGAGTAGTGTCTGGCCGTAGGAGAGGATGTCTGGGAAAGAAAGCTCGACGGCGGTAAAACCTGCGGTGGATATAGCATGTAAGCGGTCGAGGAGAGGCGGAGGGTTTGATGGCGATCCGAGCGAGCATGTCGCGTAGCTGATCGGGATGCTTTGGAGAGATCTATAGTCTAGGCTGCCCATGATGAACTGTGATCGAGCAAAAGTTGAACGTGAGTAGTGTTTTTTTTTCTTACAGTGCAGTGCAGAGTTCGAGATTATGTATTAGCTTCAGACTGGCGCGCAACGGCTCCTTCGGTATGGCATGGCTGTGACGTATGATGTCGGTGGAGAGCAATGACGGCACACTTATTAAAGCCTAGTTGACCGCTCCAGTGCAATCACGAAAGCTGGATGTAGTACATGTAAAAGCCTTAAAAGGATCTCTAAAGTTATACGTCGTTTTCTTACCACTACCCACAGCTGTTAACTTCCTTTTGTTGAATGTTGCTTGTTATGTAGGGTGCAACATCCACATGCGGCTCTCATGATAGCACCAGAGCGACTGTTCGTAAAACTCAGTCTGACCATCAGAAAAATCTCCAACGAATTCTGAAAAGATGTACATGTCCGTTGGTACTCATCATTGTACTCCGAAATGCGCTGTATTGATACATAGCTTCACGGAGCTCTCCATGACGTCATATCTGTCTATGTTAGATATCTCTACTTTTGCATTTGAACACGCCCAAAGGCCGTATAATGAAACCCGTCTCAAGCTTCGCGGAGCATTGCAACCAGCTTCCAATATAGGGCCGAATGACTCTCTCTCGAGGACATCCTTGTGCGCCAGGGCGTGGCCGGACCGGCGATGATGATTGAGGCTCGACCCCGCGCCACCTAAAAATCGGCGCGAATGCCCCGCTCATTGACCAATGAGGGCGCCTCCGACTCCGCCGTCATACCAGAAAACATTCGACTCATAAAGGTCTTGGTCGTCTGCGAGGAGAAGAAGAGCAAATAAAACCACAGTCGCTGTCCTTTTCAGAGTTTTTGTCTCTGATTTCCTTCCATATACCCAGATCCTCCTAATCTTTCCTGCGTCTTCTCTTGAACTATGTCTGTATGTACACCAACATCCATTGCCGCCACCAGTCGCACACTCTAACACGTCGTCGCAGTTCCACATCGAGAACAAAGCTGTCGGCGACCCGCACAACTCGGAAGATTGGCGCATCAAGGGCTACAACCCCCTCACACCTCCCGACCTCCTCCAGAGTGAAATCCCCCAGACGGCCAAGTCAAGAGACACAGTCCTCAAGGCGCGTGACGAAGCTGTGGAAATTGTCCAAGGCAAAGATGCACAGAAGCGGTTGCTCGTCGTCATCGGCCCGTGCTCCATCCACGACCCTGCCGCTGCCCTCGAATACTGCGACCGGTTGATGAAGCTCAAGGAGAAGTACCAGGATGATCTCCTCATCGTCATGCGTTCCTACCTGGAGAAGCCTCGTACAACTGTAGGCTGGAAGGGTCTCATCAATGACCCGGATATCGACAACAGCTTCAAGATCAACAAGGGCCTGCGCATCTCAAGACAGCTCTTCGCTGATCTGACTGAGAAGGGCATGCCCCTGGCGAGCGAGATGCTGGATACCATTTCTCCCCAGTTCTTGGCCGATATGTTCAGTGTAGGCGCAATTGGCGCCAGGACTACAGAGTCGCAGCTCCACCGTGAGCTTGCTTCAGGTCTGTCTTTCCCGGTTGGTTTCAAGAACGGCACAGACGGCACTCTCGATGTCGCCATTGACGCCATTGGCTCCGCAAAGCACCCTCACCACTTCCTCTCCGTCACCAAGCCTGGTGTCGTCGCCATTGTCGGCACCATTGGCAACGATGACTGCTTCATTATCCTTCGCGGTGGAAAGAAGGGCACAAATTACGATGCGAAGAGCGTCAAGGAGGCGCGTGAGAAGCTCGAGTCCAAGGGCATGAACTCGCGCTTGATGATTGACTGCAGCCACGGCAACTCGGAGAAGAACCACATGAACCAGCCAAAGGTTGCGCATGCAATTGCTGAGCAGATCGAGGCTGGAGAGACGGCCATCATGGGTGTCATGATTGAGAGCAACATCAAGGCTGGCACTCAGAAGGTACCCAAGGAAGGCAAGGCTGGTCTCGAGTACGGCATGTCCATCACCGACGCGTGCATCGACTGGGAAACCACCGAGACCGTGCTCGCTGAGCTTGCTGGCGCTGTCGCGAAGAGGAGGGCCCACAGCCAAAACGGCACCCACTAAAAGGTCTTTTTCTCTTCAAGTAACATGGTCTGCAGGCGCGGCGTAAGGATGGTCTCGGCGTTGTCACACGTCTTAGTATTGAGAAGCATATAAAAGGGCTTGGTGTACGAATTACGATTTAAAACATTACAGGCAAAAGACCAAGTGTCATTACAATTCAATAATTTCAGGCACATCATCGTCTCCGTCATTTGTGCTATGCCCAGGATACTTGTCGTACCAGTCTCGTGGGTCACCACCTGGCAAACACAAACCCAATCGCCAGAAGTAATCGCGATGGGCGAAGAAGAGCTGCCAAAACTTGAAGCGAGTGGGTACACCCCAGGCAGGCTTGTCTTGGTCGCTCCCAGCAATGCAGTGCGGGTCTTCGTCACCGTCGCAGTAGTGGATGTCGGCAACTGAGAAAGGTAGACTTGACTCGGATATAAAGATCTCTTCACTGTGCATACTGAAGCCCCATTCAGACAGTGGTAGCAGAGGAACAGGGTCGCCGACATGGGTGACACGGTGAAGTTTGTTGTTGTCGTGATCCGAAGTGATGGCGAAGCGCTCATCCACGTACTTGTTGAACTCCTTGTTGCCTAGTCTAGGCTCGCCAAAGGTTGTCACATGGGGGTCCCATCCACGAGCCTTGAAGTCCAACCCGGCGAGGGTCGAAATGGCACCGCCCAACGAGTGTCCCACCAAGACCAGCTTGTAATGGGGATACTTGTCCAGAGCCTTGGATACATGTGGCAGGACGACCTTACGGGTGTTGAGCCACGAGGAATAGAAGCCGGTATGTACAGTACAGTTGTCGCATTTGGGCGGCTCGGCGGGTGGCGCATCGTCGTCTACGTCTAGACTCGGGGCGATGAAGTCCGAGGTACCATCATCATCGTCGCCTGGGTATGGCACGTATTCTTGCGGTATGGTAGAGAGGTCGGCGATGGTATTGGCAACCGAATAGGTGCCGCGAAAGGCAAGGATCAGACGCGGGTTGGTAGGTGAATGCGACAGAGCGATGTAGCCGCAGGAGTCAGATAGAAAAGGGCCAGTGTTCCATGCCTGGACATATCAGCACCTCATGCACCTTGTGCGATGTGTTGCTGGATGCAGCCACTTACTGTAACCAACTCGAAAGTCTCAAAGTCGCGGTCTCCGCAGCGGCTGGCGCACCTGAAGGGCTTCTGGATGCCCAGACCGGCGGTGCCTACACAGTAGGATATATCGACAATGCGCGCGAGTTCTTCGAGTTCCCAGAACAGCTTCTGGGAAATTAGAGTTCCGTTACGAGCGGCTTGCGCATCGGGCAGGGGGTGTTGAGTGGCATGGCCGCCTCTACTGGTGACAGCACAGGAAGCGAGGAGCACGAAAGAATACAGGAAGAGGCCGCGTAAGGAGCCCATCAGTAATATCGATTCACATATCCACACTGACTGCACAGTGCATGGAGGGATTGGAGCATGTGCCCGGTGGCGAGGTTAGAGGACGGAGATGCGTCAGCCGAGCATCCCAAGCATGCGCCAGATCCGCCCAGGGAAAGCGCGACCTTGGAAGCACCAAACGAGGCCCCAGGCGTGACATCATAGGCAGATTCACGGCCTGCACGGTGCTGACGGATTCTAACAGACCCTTTCCCCCATGATACGGCCATTCCCCCAAGATACGCCGACAGTGTCAAGACACAATCTCACCCGTTGGCATCCGGACAAGACGCGACCGACTCTTCTTGTTTCCCGCCGCTCCCGTACTTTTCTCCCTGGGCACCCCATCGTGCCACCGCTCCACACAATGGCTACGCAGCAATCTTCGACGGAGCCCTTGAGGCCGCTGACGCCTCAGGCTGATGCATCTCGACCGACGACTGCAGGACAGGCCGACACGCTGCCCGTACCCAGCATGCACGTCGACGGCGCCAGCGACGACGAAAGACAGCCGCGCAGCACCACGCCCGTCAACAACTCTGCCAGCCTCAACCCCAGCGCACAACCAAGCCGCGTCCCGTCGCCAAATCCCCACGCCCAGTTTCCCCACACCCAGGTCACCTACGATGACCCCGACTTCACCCGCCCGCCGCCGCTCAAGTACACGCTGCGCACCCGCAAGAAGTCCATCTTCTGGTTCTGGACCCTCATCATCCTCGACTGCGTCTTCATGCCCATCGGCCTCTACTTTGGCATGTGGTATGGCCTGACGCGTGACCAATTGTCTGCCAACGCCGTCTTCAGTATCAGTACCGCTTTGCTTGGAACCGTGTCGATTGTCGAATACTTCATCCGCTTCCACAGGTTATGGAAGAAGGGCTCCAGTTGCAGGGTCATCGGCGCGCAGAGATGGTATCTCGACTGGTTCCACTGGAACCTGTCCGTCGGCTGGTTCTTCGTCATGATTGAGCTTATTGCGTAGGTTCTCCGTCCGTCCCAACAAAGCTCAGCTAACAAAGTGCAGTGGTACATGTCCCCACGACCCGCCAATTCGCGTCCTTGCCATGCCCGCGCCGACCATGATGTTCGCCATTGGTTGCGAGCTCCTTCTCGTCGACATCCTGCGGTATATGAACGTGCCTGCACCCTGCCGTATCTCTTCGCTACCCCAGGGCGCACCGCTCCGACCCGGCATCTATGCATACATTGAAGACATTTGCGCTGTTGACGGATCTGGTGGCACTGAGTTCCGTCAGCGATTGAATCTCCGATACCAGGCCAGCAAGGGCTTCCGCATGATGCTGCACCGCTTGACACTCTTCTGGGCCATTGGCGCCATTATCTGCGCTGTAGTTGCTACTGCCATCATTTTCACTATTCAGCGCGACGCTGCCTACGTTGTATGTCCAAATCGTACTTCTTCCATATTATCAAGACTAACACAGCACAGGTCGGCTGGGTTCTGCCCTTCCTCTGGGCCGGTATCTGGACCGCCATCACCATTCCCTGGGTCCAACGAGAACTGAAAAAAGAGTACGAAGAATGGACCACGGCCAACTTCAAGGCCTAGGAGACTTAGATTCCCCTTTTATTTATTCATGTCCCGCTTGTACAATATCACACATATCACTAGGTTGCAAAGACGAAGGGAGTTTCTGTACATTGGCGACGGCGTTCGCAGGATACATTGAAATTGGGTGTTGATACTCTAGATACCACTTTGCGCAGAATACCAATATCGCATTTTACACATTATTTTTCTTTGATGTGTACAGTTCCGTCAAACGTCGTTGAATCCACTTATTACTCCACACACACACACACACACACACACACAC